ACATGGATTTATATTTCTTACACTCAAAGACAACCAGGGTAAAGCAAAGCATTTTATTGCAAGTATTAGTCAAAGATACACTCCAAACTGAAGCAAAGCAACACTAAAAGGCCAACAAACCTATGAGAGAGAGTTACAAAAAGAAAGACACATTCAAGCGTAGAGGAGTAGAGCTGTTGGTACAACAGAGGCTTCGCAGCACAGAGAGAGACTGAGACATGGATCGACTGGTGCGGAGAAGGCTCACTGTTCTACGTGTACATAGTACACCTGTTTGCTGGTGCCTCGCTCGGAGGTATCAGAGCCCGAGATTTTTACTTTGAAATAAAACTGAAACAAAAGAGTGAGATGCTACATGGAAATCCAATCTGACAATCAGCGCACACAGGTGTTAAATCCTCGGCCACTGTCGAGTATCTGTCTTCAAAACCATCATGTGATAACACGGCGTCAGGAGCCTAATCTCTTGTGCAATTTTTGGTTCAGAGTCATTATTGGAATGATAATGGCATGAAAACAGGTTAAACGAGTGGTAGCCGTGGGGGTAAACATTACAGTAAACGTCGATAGACGAGGACAGAGGGCCCTTTTTATTTCAACTTTGTAACAGGAGGGACAACACTCAAAAGCTCCATGTCTCTGGTCCTCTGATTGGGTGAGGGACAACCAATGAAAACAGCTTAAAAAAAAAAAGGAATGAAATTCATGACAATAGAACTCATCCTTGGTTCATTATACAGGCACAGGTCTCTGTAATCCAGCACCCGGGTCAAACTGTATCTGAAAATACTGCTCTTTGGATTTGCCATCAGTGGAAAAACATGGAGCCCACAGAGAGACACGGAGAGAACTTCTTGCAATTGTCTCTTTGCATCGTTAAATCTTTCTTGGGATTAATCTTCATTTTTACCCTCCATGTCCCTCCAGGGGCTCCATAGAAATAAAACAAGAACCAGCTTTTGATTTTGAAGTCATCAACAGTTTTGACCTCTTCCTCATTTTTCTGTTTGCTGATTTTTTTTTTTTTTTTTTTTTTTTAAATGCCAAGAATTTTTTTCAAATGCTGTTTGACCCCCGACCTCGTTCCAAACAGGACAGAGTCATTTCTTCAAAAAGCCTACACATGTTGGTACATTACAATCCTGTAGCAAAAGTAGTGGTTTACATGACAAAATAAAAATAAAAAAAAGAGATGAAGATACCGGTATGTTCGTTAGCTTGTTTTCATGGTAGGCGACTAAACACGGGCATCGTCACACAGAAATCTGAAGAATGTGTAAGAACGCACTTAAGGTTGAGGCATGTCTTCTGTGTTTGTGGAATGAGACCTTTTGAACTGCTGTGAGGTGTTCTGGCACAAGAAGAACTAAACTTGACGAGTTGAAAGAGGAAAGAAAAAACGCAACACGTGTGTTCAGATTTACACCAGGATCCGAAGATGTTTTGAATTCTTGCTTTCCCACCTGCTCTCGACTGGCTCTGGGAATTGACATGGCTATCGTACCAATTAGCAGCTCGCGACGAAAAAAAACCCAAACTCAGCTATCGGACACTTCAGTCAGCGTGGTTCAGAAATGGGTCCCTTCGTCAGAGGTCAGCTGCAACTTGTGGGGGTTAGCGTTTGGCCTTCTAAAGTTGGTTAAAGAAAAAATAAAAAACTGGAGGGTTAAAAGAATATTGAGAAAAGGACGAGGAAGATTTGACCTGCAAATATCAAAAAAAAAAAAAAAACATGATACACAGCTCTGAATCACCAGGTCAAATCCTCCTTGTCCTTTTCGTCCACCTCGCTTCCCCCTCCATATTGTTGTGCTTGCGTGTCTAAGAGAATAAGGCGTCATCATGGAGGGGGAGGGGCTAAAGGCCTCGTTTCACTCCCGGCTCCGCCCCCACCATGCTGCGATACGATGCGGAGACTCCAGCCGCTTGAACGCACACTCTCAATAAATACACCATAAAATATTCCGCACATAATATATTTCTTATATAAATTTGAAAGAAACAACACATTTAAATAGGACAACAAAACAAAAAACAAAAGTCGGCTCAAGAACATTTCGTCAAATTCAGATAAGTGTTAAGACAAAAACAGAATATTTTTTTTAGTTATACTTATTCCACTCTAAAATAGTTACTGTATAAGAATATCGCAATCAGGCATTACTCAAGCATTATATGTCATAATAAAAGCAGTTTGCAGGGTTTTTTTTTTCTTTCATGAAGTATAACAGATGCAGCATACCAAGGTAAGTGAGGTGCAGTGTTTGTAAAGATTACACCCCCCCCCCCCCCCCTCCCCATCCCCATCCCCATCCCCTGGACTGTAAAGGTACCCACAGAACTACAGACCACCCTTCAAACTTTTCAGTCGTCACCCTCCCTGCTCAGGACTGCTGGGACACATTTTCCCTCCATCAGAGGCAGGACACAAGGCAGGGCACTAAGATGAGAAAGGGCTGCTGCTGCTGCTGGGGCTGGGCGTCATGGGAACACTTTAAATACTGACTCTGATTGTTTTATTTAATCGATAAAACTAATACAGATGTTCCAATACCAGGTTTTCCTTTCCGATAACTAGACCTAAGTATCATCTGATACCCGAGAACCCCTCAGATACCAGTGTGATTAAAAAACACAGATAGCTTTCAGTAGCATTACACTCTCTGCTAGCGCTGCACTGTTGCTGCTTGATAAATTATTGAAATTACTTGAGTTTTGGGAGAAGAGGATACAGATACGGTATTTTTGATGGAATGAGATATTGTCACTCATTATCGGAACAACTCATCATTTATTTACTATAAATTAAACTTTTTTACATCCTACATATGCTAATTTTATTCTTAAAATGCCCTTCAAGGAGAAAATCTTGATACTTCAGCCAGAATATACTTCAGTAAAAAAATTCAAGACTTTTCAAAAAATGTAAGCCTCCTACATTTTTTAATCGGGAGGCACCGATATCATGTTTTGACACCCAGCCCAAGCTGTAAATACATGTCCAGCAGAGTTAACCGGAGGGAATACCTCCACCCGAAGGCAAGCGAGCCGCTGACAAAGTCACAAGAGCATGAGGCACACTTTGAACAACGGGCCGCTTCTGTTTGGTAACACGCGAGTCCCTTTCGACTCCTCGTTTTCATCGAGGTTGGCATCCTCTCGTCCCCCTGGTTTAAGAGGAGGAGATCAGGAATTGGAGGGATTGTGTCTGAGTGGGAGTGGCAGTCTGTAAAGTGCTGTGCTATGTTTGTCATTCTTGGGCAGGGCCGTGTCACCCTAGTGTCTTCTAAAACGAACCCCAAAAACCTCTCAAACCACCCACTCTATCTCACACACATTTCACTCTACCATCGACACCATTGGTCCAAGACACTGAATGCACTAGGAAGCGAAAGCTCAACCACAACCATATACTTGGCTTTTTTTTTTTTAAATCTATTATTTATCTGTAGACTTTAATTCTAAAAACAACGAACACGAGTTTGCATTGCCATCTCTCTAACAAAAAAAAAAAAGAGTGTGTAGATGCAGCCGTTCCTGCACTGCAATATGTTCTTGAAAAGGAGATTTTGTTTTTATCTTTCAGTTTACAGCACCATCAAGAGGAAAGGCACTTTCTGTGGACTTTTTCTCACTCCATTGCTACCTTCCACTGCAACTCAAATCTGAGATTTATTGATCCATTTCTCAAAATGAAATACACCTTAACTCGTTTGAAATCAGGACACTGACCTTTCAAAAGGTAATTTGGCGATTTGTCAGCACCAGTCTCCGTCATTTTCTGGATAAAATGTTTTGTTTTTCCAGCTTCTGAAAAAAAAAAAAAAAAAAGAAAAAAAAAAAAGACTTGTCTTTACTGTTAGCTATCCTAATTGAGAGCCAAAGGTCGCAGCTAGCCGCAAGCTATGTGTGTCCTTTTCATTTCAGTCAACTCAAACAAGTCTTTTTTAATAGAATTGGAAAAACAAACAAATCTATTCCCCGGCTGTATAACAAAGAGAGAAAAAACGAGACACATACATTACGTCTTCCCTCCGAGCGCTCACTGCCACAGACCCTGAATGGTCGCTCTCGTGTTAGGTCACGTCACTACAAGCGAATATTTGCAAAGCAGAGCTCATGACATTTCAGCTGTGCGCGAGGCAAACACATCTGCTATGTAAACATGTGTTCAACGGCCCTCGAGAGTGTAGTTCATACACATACTGAACATCCATTACAGACAGCAGAGTGAGTTATTAATGGAGTCAATTCTTTACACTCAACCATCAACACTTTCAACACAACCTGCCACAAAATATTCATCAGTCAGCTTATATTCCTTCTAAAATCACACATCCTTGAATGAACTAAATCGAACTTTATCTCACTGACCAGACCACACTATTGTCCTTCAGCTTTTAATCAGTCTTTGCCTCCCTGGGAGGGGGGGGGGATTGTACAGCCATGGAATGTACTCCTCTGGCACATTGGGAGTAAATGTTTGGGAGCAAAAGAGGAAAGCGAGCAACAATAAGATTACAGGCTTTGTCACACTGCAGATTTACCGGGAGGCTGAGTCTTTGTGTTTTGCGAGGACATGAAGTGACTCAGAGTCTGAGGAAGCAACAGAGGTTGCAATCCGGAGGTAAAATCCCCCCACCGAGGATTTAACACAAAGGGGAAAAGAAATGGAGAACTACCACCCCTTGTTAGGACATTGTTTGATCAAACGTGTCCTCAAGGACGATGGACAACCACTTTGAAAAAGTCACTCGCCCGTTCCTTTTTCAGGCGTGATAAGGAGCAGGCATCAGCACCATTTGAAGAAAACATTCAAGAGCAGGAGCTCGATACATTAACTATTCGTCTTCTCCTGTCGACACTTAACATGTTGTTTCTAAATACAAAAAGCCTCCTGCAGTGCAGTTTGTGATATTTCCTCTCTCCTCGACAACAAACCTCCAACAGTATGACCATCCACCAAAATAAAAAAAAGAAGAGAAATAACTGTCAACATCTCGCAGTTTTTTTTTATCCAAACATCCCGATCGGTAACAGTTTGACAGTCCAAACACGACAACCCCACCACTGTTCACACGTAACACCACAGTGACACAGGAACAAGTCAACAGTCTATTGCGATAATAAAACTTTGTTATTACACTTTTTTTTTTTTACTTATCAGGATACATGTTTTTACTAAGATTAATATTTTTTTAGACTACATTTTTTTTTCAATTCTGTTAGCAAAAATAAGTGGTGTGCATTAGATAATTTAAAATGTACAAATATACTTTCATCTGGCTTTTTTTTTATTTATAAAGGCTTTCAGACACGAGTGAAATCATGAAGGCTCAAACCCACTGGCCAATGAAAGGCAGTCCAAGTGCAGGACCCTAAGTCCTCCGAGGGGGGGCACGTCCACATGTGTACCATTTCTACATTATTTCTGATCAGAACTACAGAGTGAAATCCCTCAATCTAGAGCTCCCCCCCCCCCCTGCACTGACCACAGCACCTTCTCCTGCCTTTATGTAAGTGAGGCTTTTTGTCATCTTCTACCTTTTCCCACCTGCTCATCTCGAGTTTCACATAAAGGTTCAGCTTCAGACAGAGTAGCACCACGCCTGTGTTCACGCCCTAAACACAGCTTCTTTTAGTGCAGATTACTTACTAAAAAAACCCTCCCCCTCCGAAACAAGCTTCAGCAGCACAGAGGAGCCAAGTGGCCGAACACAATCCAGATACACGTTTTCATATCGTCACATATCGGCCACTTGCTGAATTCCTCCGCTCGAATCTGGAGTCAACTCTCAGACGGTTTCACGGGCAGGGAGTAAACCTTGTCCACGACAAATGAAACTGATTATTGAAAGACTCATAATGTTGACAAGGCTGACTCCATTACCCATGGAAACCCCCCCCCCCCCCCGTCATTTTTTAGGTACGAGCGCACTGTAGCAGCTGGATCCATGTCTGGCTAAGATTAGGCAAAAAGACAACTCGGCAAAGCCACTAACACAGCTAACACTGCTGTATAGGCGAACACAACACACACAGTGATTGTAGGACGATTGAATGAGATGTTTAGAAAAGTCAGTAGACAGTTGTTGAGAGGAACAAGAGGCATCGGGTGAACTTTCAAAACCTCTTATGCTGTCCATTTATTGGAATATGCTTCTTGGTTATTTAACCCCGCTGACATAGGCTCCAATAGTTATTTACTTTTAACCACTGAACACTTGAACTCCACCAGGCACTTGAATACTATCTCTTTATGGCCTTTTTGTTTTTTCTCTCCACTTTGCTGCAGTTACATGAGAAGCTTCATTATTCTCAAGAATGAAGAAAATCAGCCTCAAACCTCGGAAATAACACCTGGTGATAGTAAAAGTCTCCTCCAACCACAGAGGTCCATAACATCCTTTCAATTCAAGTAAAAACATGAGAACTGCAGGGTTGTTGTTTTTTTTTTGTTTTTTTTGCCCAACGGCAAGGACAATATCGTACAACGCGCTGATCAATCGTCTCACAGAGGAGCAATTCATGAAAGCGCCCAAACTCTTGGGCCAAACTGTTCTTTCAAAGTCCCCTACAATCCTCCTCCCTTCGTTTCGTCTGATTATTGCACTAGAGGAAACCGTCGACGTGATCTCGATTTACCCACCATCTCAAACACAACAGAGGGAAATGTGATAAAAAGCACAGAGGGGGGATAAAAGCATGCAGACTAATAATAAATGAGAATAAAAAATAAGCTTGCATGGTTTAAATGATTAATCAAAAAAATCATAAAATGTTTCACATAATGTAGAAGAAAAAAAAACTGAATTAAATAACAGTGTTATACTTTAAATGAAATACATACTGTAGAGTAATTGATACATCAGCCACTATGGGGTGACTCTGTTTCAATGAGACAGCCGACTGTTTTAGTTCAATCACAACTGATTGTGTAACTCTTTGTTGTGATTTTAAGGGCGCATGTATACCTCGTCGCCAACAGGTGGCAGTGTGCTCAAAGTAAACTCTTGCTTTCACACACTATAATGTGACAGAACAGAGAAAAAAAGAGATGAAAAGGGGACAATAAAAGTGGTAGCTTGGACGACTCGAGTCCGATAGAATAAAAAACACAACATAAATCTAACATGAAACATCTTCAGACGAAGACCCTTCCTTTACGCTCTCTTCTCGTTTCTAACACCGGGGAGATTCGACAAACGACAGTTTAACTGGCAGAATGTAAAAGTGCTGCTGCTCTGACTGACTTGAGGTACTGTAGATGGCAAAGGAGATTGAGCTAAAAGAAAAGGGAAAATAAAATAAAAACAGAACAACCATCAGGCCATAAGTAAAGGAGACAAACGGGGGAGAAACAGAGGGAAGGGGTAAAACAAAGGGGGCCTGATGAGGGAGAAAACAAACTGGTTGGCTGGTTAAATATTGCATAATAGTGCTGAGTTTCTGTCTTGTTTGTATTTAAAGCAGCTTTTGCATCCTCAGTCCAGTGTGGGGGTGCGTCCTCCCCTCGTTCCTCCCTGCTCTCCTCTGCACAGTGTCAGGTCCGGATTGACTAGGCGTGTGTGTGTGTGTGTGTGTGTGTGTGTGTGTGTGTGTGTTGGGTTGGGGGACTTGCACCTATGAGGACTCTTTGACTGGCAAGCCAGGCGTGCACAGTTGTGTCAGTGTGTATTTTGTTTTCTTGTGTGTGTAAAATGTGGCAATGGTTTGGAGAGGGGTTGGTGTAGCTCAGGCGAAGTACATGGTCCTCAGGGTGTCATGGTGAATCTGAACAGCTTTGGCCAGCGCCTGGGGGTCCCGACCGTTACTCTGACCAGAAACATGGCTGCCCTCAGCGCTGCAGACAGGACAGGAGAGGGCCGTTTTAGGATGGGTAACAAACAACAACGACATGTATGCAGGAAAACAGCAAGTCACACAAGACACTCAGAGTTAACGACCTTTACACCCAGAGAAGAAAAGAAAAGCCTTCCACTCCTCACCTGTCGTGTTCTTTGTCTACCAGATGGTAGCGGGCGCGGAAGGCCACCAGGTGGGCGTAGTAGGCAGGCGCAGGGATGGAGACTGAGCGGGTACAGCGCACGTAAGTGTGGCACAACTGGTAGGTGAGCAGCTGGAACTCGTCAGCGGTAAAACAATTGTCGTCCCACAGAACGTGGTAGTGGGAGGGCCGACTGGTGCCCTGGAAATTAAATTCCACTTTGTATGATTATTAGTTTAAAGATACAATGTTTCATTTACATTTTAACAAGAGATATAGGAACCTGCTCAAGTGGTCTAACAAATGGAAAGAAAAGAGAAACCTCAGGAAATCACAGAACTACCTTGAGACAAAGAGGTAAAAAATAAAACAAAGACATTATATAGAGACAGTATGGGATCACCTGGAAAAGAAAAACGAAAAAGAAATAGAAGACAGCCTTAATCTGATGAAGAACTCAGAGAAGTGCTGAAGAAGCCTGGTATCATATACTAGAAGATAAAGGAGCAGTAACTCTGACATCTAGTGTTTCAAATGGGTACTGCAGTCCAAATTCAAAACAATGCAGAGAGCAGTCTCCCACCGCCTCCTCCTCTCTGGAGTTGATGTGCACACGAGTTGCCATGTCACGGACAAAGAAGCTTCAGTGTTTAGCCAGCTCTGCATCAGTCTGTAAACCTTTCTGTGTTATAACAACCTCTCTTAATTTTCTAAAGTTTGGAGCTCATTCGAAGAATGAGGCTTTTTAGGTCGGAGAGAATCAGTTATTTTTTGCTTGTTACCCGTTTGCTTGCCCGCTGTAACACCTGTTGGTTTGCCGTTTTCCAGGCAAACCGAAGAGAGCATTAAAACCGCCTCCATTCTCTGGTCCAAACAAATACAGACCATTCTGGACCAGAAGAAAAACTTAGGAGGACTTAATGTCTGCTGCACTGTTGTCAGAGAAGCCAGCACATCAACAGAGCATGTTTTCTTAATGTCTGATGATAGAGTAAGGTCATTTTTTGATTTTGTTCAGTAGAAATCTTACATATTGAGAACTTCAAGACTCTACCCCCAAAGAAGAGCTCAAGGTGTGGCAAGTGCAGAGGTACTGAATACTGACTTTTGTACATAGCAGCTATTTGGTTCTGAAATGTGTTTCTTTTATTTCATGTACATATTTCCTGGATTTTCTGGTTGTATTGTAATAAAGAGACGGGTTGATGAAATTGATGGTCATTAAGATGTGCTTTAACAACGCTAGTGGTGGCCTTAGACTTTAGCCCAGAACTGCACATCAAATATAATAGAATTAACACGTTTTCCAACGAGGATGTTTCATGTAGACGATGTACATCTCTGTGTACATATAGTTACTGTGTCTTAAGGGCAAGAATTAAATCAACCAGGTATTTCATAGTTTGAGAGGAAAGTGCTGTTGCAGAACTTCGCTGTCTTAGTTTGAATACTTTCAAAAGAAGGGAGGAAATTTTAAAAGATGGCTAGCTGGAGGACAGGGTTGTTGAATTCAGTCCCTTATTTTGATTTCCTTATTATATAACTTTCAGTAAGAATATTACACATATTCATATAACACTTTGTGAAGCTGTTTATTTCATTGAGTTAAGCTCCATTCCACATTAGAAAGAACAAATGTTATTATTGGTTGTAGCTCGATTAAGTTGGATTAAGATCTATAAAACTTTTTGCAGGAAGTCTGGGGCAAGTGTGCAATTCTTGAGAGATCTAACAATGGATCAAATACAGAGAGGAAAAAAGCGAATATTTCATTTTTCTCTTGCAGCCATTTAATTTCCAAATCTTGTTTACGACCTTTTTTTCATCAATGCTTCGCTCTGCAGAGGCTCACAGTGTTCAAATGTGGAGAGAGGCAGAGAGCACGAGAGGTTGTTCTGACCTGTATTCCAGCGTGACTGCAGAGGTAAAAGTCAAACTCGTAGGGATGCGTGATGTCCGTATCCACAGTAGTACCAGCAGGAATGTTTCCACTGCGTCCAACCTGACAGAAGCAGAGTTAAGGTCAGTTAGTCCCAGGTAAAGTTTTTCTGCTTTTTCAACCATGTGTCACCGTGAAAGCCAAAACAAGCGCAAGAGAAAATGGAAAAAGGTGAAAAAAAGAGAGCAGAAAAACATGCTCTGAAAGCACTAAATGAGCAGCAAAAATTCAAATAATGTGAGCAAGATCTAGCTGATGGACTGACCCCGGCCAAGCTTTACCAAGTGCTTCCCAATCAACCAATTAAAGGCCTAATGCCCCAGAGAGCCTAATGCTCTGTATGGAAGTGCCTGCACTGAAAATAAGGTTGTTAGTGGCCGAGTCTTATTCCTGTGGCCTGAGTGCCACTCCACAGCTCTCGGCCTGCATCGGGCCCTAATGCTTTAATCGAACGTAATTATAGGGGTTAGGAGGGCGCACGGAGCAATTGACAAAAGGTAATTAAGGAGAGCCATTTTGAGTACTTAACATGCGGGCTTGGATCATAAAACAGAATATGGAACAACACATAACAGACTGTACTGACTTTAATGGGGAAACATCGCTCTGCCATTCTCAGAAAGAGTGTGTGTGTGTGTGTGTGTGTGTGTGTGTGTGTGTGTGTGTGTGTGTGTGTGTGTGGTGTGTGTGTGTGTGTGTGTGTGTGTGTGTGTGTGTGTGTGTGTGTGTGTGTGCATCAGTCATGTGGACTCACTCTCTCGTTGCGGTCGGCACAGAAGAGGCGTGTGTGGTGGCGTTTTTGCACAACAATATAGGTGATGCCGGGCTGGTACTCCTTCTCTAGGCTTATACAGGCCTCACGGATGGCCAGCAGCTCATAATACAGCACCTGAGGTAGAAAAACAAAAGAAATGTAGTTTGAAATGTTCATAAAGGTAGTCCTTGAAAAGTATTAACTTTTAATGTATTTACAAAATGTATCCCTTTATCACTGTGTACTGTGCATTTGTGTAACTGTCAGTTTAGTTTCAAAGAAGGATGATCTATATGGGTCATTAGTCACCTGTGTTCACACAGGGACAGGGCTTGAAATGGTCACCCACCAAGCACCAAATGCAGACAATTTTGTTTGGCAACTAAATCTCAGAGAGCCATTCTCCCACATGGCAATGTTTGTACCAAAAAGTATGAAAAACTATGCAGAGTTTTCACAGCGTTTTGATGAAGCAGCTTCTTCCTCCTGCTCCTCTGCTGCCTGCATGTACGAGCTTCACCAGGCGGACTGATACACACAAACATACACTGAAGCGCACACACGCCCACGTGCCCACAGGAACGCCAGCCACCACGCGCCACTGTTTACCGTGTGGGACATCAGCTACCCTGAGCCACATACAAGAAAACAATTACAAAAAAAACATACAATACAATTAAAACAAGAAAAAGATAGAAAAATAAATACAGAAACCGAAAAATAATACAAAAAAAGATTAGAAAATAAAGAGGACAAGTGATCAGTGAAGAACCCCTCCCCACTCCCCAACGCCCCCATGCACCACTGATAAGTTACACAACCTGCCACATGGCCCCTTGTTGCCACAGCAACCCAAACAGCCCTGCCACCCCAACAAACACAGGTTCTGCCCATGCTGGCCAGCCAGGCACCTGCAACTCTGCTTTTACCTCCCCTACCACATGACCAGCTATATGTACCGGTATATATTTATTTGATCAAATTTTTCTCAGGGAAATGTACTGAAACAAACGTGTGGAATACGGTGGATTTGATGTGCTCTGCCAGCCGAGGCAAACACATCTTTAAAGTCCAGAATGTACTGTTCATGTGTTAAACATCTAAATCACAGTCAAAAATATGCATGTAAGCCAAACTTAGCTGGACTTCTGCTCTTGACTGCTTCTTTGTAATCGAAAGTGGGGACTGACCTGTCTGAACTGGCCCTCTGAAACTCCGTCCCTGTAGAAAATGATCCGGGTGGGCTTGTAGCGGGTTGACTTGTAGAACTGGATGAGGAGCTCCCGCACCATGGAGGCCAGGTCCTGGATCACCTCCTGCCTCGGCCTCTGGACCCGCACAGTGGCACAGTACCTGCTGGGGTGGGCGTCCATACTGCCAACCACCTGGAGAAGGGGGGGGGGAGTCAAGGAGAGAGGAAGAAAAGTGGAAGGATCAGATAGAAATGTTCATTAACAACGATAGGGTTAGGGTTACAGATACAGCTGCTGAAAGCCGATGAGGTGAGGAGGAAAAAAGAAAAAGAAACTCACTGCTGCAATCGAAGGCTTCTTCCCGTCGCCAGCGGGCGGATGTGTGACGTCTGCGCCCAAGAAGATAACTGGCTGCTGAAACACTGATGGTCTGTTGATGAGAGAAACAACAAATACTTAGATTACACTTACAACATTTAGAAAGACAGTTTTGCTGCACTGGCGCCAGGTTTGTTAACAATGACGTGTATGTTGCTTTAATGTTGGTAAAAACGTCAGAAAAAAACGTGTTCACATGTTGCAAATAAATGTTTCTGATCCTATAACGGACAGCAAACATTTGAACACTAAAGTACTGTTTGTCTAAATCTGAAGGGAAAGAGCGCGCGTCTGACCGTTGATGAGGCACCAGGATGTTGTTGATGCCTCCCAGCTTCACGTTGATCTTGAGGCAGAGGTTGGAGAGGGTCTGCGGGGACGTCTTCACCACGTTCTTCACCTGCACACACTGCGTGGCCATGCCCAGGAGGGTGTCGCCCACACGCTTCACCTCGGCTGTGGGTGGTGACAAAAGGAAAATGAGCCTCAAAAAAAGTTAACATGGGGCAGGATTTCAAAGATTGAAAGTGCAGAAACAGCTGATATTGTAATGGTAATGTCAGATCTTAAAATGTTTGACCGAATTAGTGAGAGTTATAAATCATAGTGGATTACTTTGGGCCCTTGATCAGTGAGCTAGTTCAGGGCTTCATAATTAACTGCCAGAGAAACAAAGATACAGGAGAGCAGTCATACATGGAAACAAGTCAGGATTAAAGAATACAAGCAGGTATCAGAACAGTCTGAGAAAATATGCCAAGAGGAAAAATAGAAGGATACAGGGAAAGGATATTTTGCAACCGAGCGTGCAGAGCATTCTCCTCTTTCTCCTCAACATGGTTCTTTCATTGACACACATTTGTGAAGCCGTGGAGGGGAGACTATTGCATCAGCACTCCCTCCCAGAATAGCATTAGTGCTTCCACGCTGTCTAAACCACAAGCTCATCTATAGACTCTAATACAATATTCATTTTCGAGCAGTTTTCTGACCGTAGACGGGAGTCTTTCCCGGCAGGATGACGATGATGAGCTGCAGCCCGGCGTAGGTGTTCTTCAGGTGTCTGAACATGGGCTCCACGCTGTCCGCTCCCTGGGCGTATTTACAGAAACATGGTTGGCCCTGGATGGGCATCCCAGCATCCTTTGAGATCTTGCGCAGCTGGTCTGTGAAACCCCTGAACAAGGAGGCAGCAGGAGGGAAGAAAGTATTTTACAAAAGTGGAGTCAACTGTCATCAATAGTGTAGACTGAGGCCTTAACAGCTTAGAGATGAAGACGTCTGGTCAACTGCTTACTTTGCATGTTTGACATCAAAAATGTAAATGTTTTACCTTTTTTAATACCACATTGCCAAAAATCTAGTTCAAGCGAATATTTCATTTTTCCATTACAGAAAAAAAATGTTTCTCTCTGCAATGAAGCACGAGACAGGTTGCAGTTTTTACGGCATATTAAACATTTTGCAGGGACTGCAGAGAAACTTTTTTACTTGTTTCCAACTCTGAAATAGTTATTTCTGTTATGTTCAATGTGCCTCATTTATGAATTTTTAATGTTCAGCTAAAAAGTCACAAAGAAATTGACGGGCTAACAGAATCTTCATGGCTGTTTGCAAACGTCTGAAATAAGAGACGTTAACTATCTTGTAGTAATCACATAAATGATCATTTATGACGGTTTATATTATGTGAAGACAAAAATATACAAATGATCTTTATCAACATCACAGATTAATAAGAAAGGCAAAAAGTAATTTGAACAGTAATTCAATTAGTGTCTCTTAAGTATCAAAAATGAACTCATTAGAATGGTAACTGCAGGCAGAGTGGCTCCAGACTTTCAGAAAGAAACTTAAAAAATTCAATAGAGATAGATAACAGCAAGTAATCCTACTTAAGGATTTCTTCCCGACACTGCCGCTGTGTGGCGAAGCAGGCGATGGCCCACATCTTGATCTCCACCCCGGTGTGGAACTGCTTCCCCCTCATGTCCCACACCCCGTGGCTGGGCGTGGCCACGGTGCGGTTCTGAAACAACATTGCAGTCTCACCACATGTACTCATGATTATGTGGGCAAACAGTCAATGACATACTGTACACACACACACACACACTTGCAGAAAGACGCACTCGCATACGAACACAAGCTTGCTTTCTGAGAACCCACAGAATCCACACAGCCTTCATCCAAACCAAAATGTATTAACACTCAATTAAACACAAAAACTCACAATGTGGAACTAAACAGAAGCATGCATACAGCCTCTAAGTAGTGAAACATTTACAGAACATTAGAGACTGAAGAGGAAATCACTAACTATTTATATGTAAATATTATCACAAGGATTTCAAGTGAATCTTGACTTGTATTGCAAAGTAGTGTGATGCACTTGTGTGGTGGAATCTGTGGTATGTTCTGCACAAATTGGTGTTCATATGACGATGCCATATTTCACAGCAACACATGCTCACCCAAGTGTACAAAAGCAAAGGTGTGTCACCTCAGAGAAGGTATACAAATGTTAATCAGCATAGTGGTTCGGACTCAGTGAGCAGCTTCAATCAGCACCTTTCTTCTCTAAATTTGGTTGATTTCATTATTTTTACTGTTTGTTGTTGTGTTTTGAGTTTTTTTCCTGAAAATCTGTGACGATAGAATTATTATTTGCATCACTGAGACCAAACCACAAAAAAAAAAGGCAAAACACCATGAAGACACCATGGAGAGCAAACAGAAGCTCGAGTTAGTTCCCCTTAGAGACAGTGTGGAGTAAAGGGCTGGGGAGGAGGGGTGGGGGCAGCGTGTCAGACAAACAGAGAGAATGGGCGTGATTTAAAGGAAGGGTACCATAAAGTGCTCTGTGCTCACCCTGCCGCCGTACTGCAGCATGGGGGCGGGTAGCACTCGCCCCGTCACGTGGGCCATCTCGTCACGCACTTTGAACTGGAACTCCTGCACGAATGGGTCTGCCTCGTAGTTGGCACTGCGCACCTGCAGAGGGAAACAGATGCAGAGATTGGTCAGGCTGCGGTATTAAATGACAGCATAGTGATAAAACCACTGTAGCACAAAAAATATAGTTTAAAGTGAAGTTCCATCAACCCACCAACCACTCAGTTTGTCTTGTTTGGAATAATTCAACATGTTTTGATAACGTAAGGTTACAGCCAGCAGCTAGTAAACTTAGAGTAGTGTAGTCTAAATCCAGCTCTCTAAAGCTCACTAATAGACGACAAGTAACCATCACTTAGGATCAGGTACGATCGGATACGATGCACTTTATTTTCCCCATGGGGGAAATTTCTATTTGACTCAAGTGCTGCACACATTTAGCTAATCAAGCAATCTCTGTTTTATTAATTTATTTCACGTTTATTTGTTAAGGACAAGTACAGTATGGAGCCAGTACAACCTGCTCCAAAAAGCAGTGTGAAAAGGAGGCGGGCTAGCTTGATCCTATGTTAACAGTCTTGATGGAAAGCTAACCAGCTGCTGGCTGTAACCTTTTATAAAATGGCAACATATTGAAGGCAACTAAAGTTATTTTCCCCCAAAAAATTAATCTGATAAAGCGCTTATTATTGCCTTGAGAAACACTTGCGTATACAATTACTTCTGCAAAGGTTTACATTAGGACCACAATCCACCTATTATGACACAGCACTGTTTGATCTTAAGATGGAATGTAAAGTCAGGCATCAGCTCAGTGGGCACGTCATGTATATATTTCTTTAAAGGTGATGGCAATCGTGCTTGCCTCCGTACAAAGTGCTTCATTTTGGAGTTCTGACAGACACTGCTTATCTGCTCGTGTTGTACCGTTTCGTCTCTCTACCTCGTCTCCTCCACCCACACTCGGCCTTGTCAGTGTGAAGCGGCAGTGCATCTAAATGAAAACGCCACCACAGTCTTGTCTACAATCACTTCCTGAAAGCCAGTCCAGTTATTTTGTTGCTGAGTGAAGAGATAAGGAGACAAGGTTTAATAAGGGAACAACAGGTACGAAAATGTGCATTGCTAATCTGATGGTTGCCAGAGGCCGTCTTTTCAGTCTGTCCATGTCCTGTCTGTAGCAGCCTCACACACACACACACACACACACACACACACACACACACACACACACACACACACACACACACACACACACACACACACACACACACACACACACACACACACACACACACACACACACACACACACACACACACACACACACACACACACACACACACACACACACACACACACACACACACACACACACACTAAAGCTATTACTACTCGAGCATTTTGTTGACCCTTGGTACGGCTGCTTTTTAATTGCCAGATGTGATGGATGCTCACAAAAAAACATGCCTCCTTTAACGATATAAAACAGGAATCTTGGAGAGATGATTACAAAACAAGCAATTTGATAACAGGATGCGCAGCATGGCAACCGGGCATTAACAAGCCTAGCAACGCGGGCATTTCATAACACTGTTGTGTGTCCACCTGTATGATATCGAATTTAAGGTGCTCAAATTTACAAACAGCTGAGTCTGAATTATTCCACAGTCTATGAATTCAATGTGCTATGTCCTATACTGGTAATGGGGGCGGACTTGTGTGGTGATAGTTGTTGTTATGGCTGGACTGTGTGTGGAACGAGTGTTTCAGTAAAAGTATGTATCATGCACATTCTTCGTTATTGAGCTAACATTCAACACTTGTTTCTGGCCACAGAGTTTTTTTTTGCCACGCAGGCGGTGTCATGTCTTTGTCTGCGTCAACACTACAACTTAAAGTAGAAGTCCAAGCAAAGGCTTTAAGGTTAAACTTTGCACAGTACAAACTAGACCTACCTACTTGAATAATGGTGCATGTTATTTCTTCTTACTAGAAACATTTCAGGGTAAATAAAGTGTAACAAGTATAAAAGTGTATGAGCGTTACACCACTTCATTTATGGTGTTTTGAAGCTGAAGGGGTATTTGGTGGCACATGATTCCTCTTGGTGTTGTTTCAGTATTCAGTCAGGGTGTTTATGGAGGAATTAGAAGAGAGATTTTGGCTCAGCTGGTGTCCCCACACTCACCAGCCTGCTGATCTCCTCCTGCCTGTCGGGTGCGGAGCGAGCTGTGGCTTTGATCATAGTGGAGGTCTGATTATCTGTCAGCTTCTTGATGCACCTTTGACCAGCTACAATGTTACAAACCTGCAGGAAAACAAACATTTCTGTTATTTGCAGCCAGGGAGAAACATTCCTAGGCCTTCTTGAGCTTTTTATGCACATGCCCAGTCGACAGTATACATCACAGATTTCATCATACTTCCAGTTAGGTTAGTAACTAGTGTCTAGTGTCTCACCTCCAGAGGCAGATAGGTGTGCTTTTGCTCCTGGCCCACCTGCAGACAGGGCAAGTGAGGGTACTTAAGCTGCAGGTTGTACTTCTCCCTGAAGTAGTGGGCTACAGTACGCTCTACAGTCTGACCATTTTCCAACTGTAGGGGGAACCTGCAAGAAAGGAGCATCATAGGTGCATAAAAAAAATATAGAAATTCACTGAAGGACACTGAATTACTGAATTACATTGATTTATTTGATGGTATCTTTAACCAATCTGTAACAATTTAACAGGGTGGATTTAACCACATTTTAACCAAGTAATTGAGGGTATATGTATGTCAGATTAAGGCAGAAGTTATACAGAATGTTTTGATGGAAATAAAAAAGGGATTTTATCGTCTATAATTAATTACCAAATCTACATTTACTGAGCGAGTTATGACTGTACTTTAAGTGTGTTGGGCGAAATACAAAAAGAGAGGAACACTAAACAATGATGCGTTACGAGTGGTACAGTCATATGTTTTTGCCAGCTGCACCATTTCTAACAATAACAGCTGAGCAGAAATAGACCAGCTTAAAGTATAATAATGGTGCAAGGAAGATATAAACTGCCCTTCTGTTACTAAGCAGAATAGCATGTGCTAGACAGAATCTGTACTGAACTACTAGTTTACATAATGTAAACAAATAGTTACAGACTCATCATAAAAAAAACACTTTTTATTCCTATTATTTGAGCTTCCTTTGTGGTTTTTATCTGCTCGTAATCATAACTCATTAAAAGCTTCTATAATGTCTCTTTTCCCTTTGTCATGTTGATTTTATATGTGGTGTGTGAGGTACTTTGAATTGCCTTCATGCTGAAATGTCATCTTCATATTAACTTGCTTTGCAGTCTAATGGAAAAGTCCAACAACATAACGGCCCTTCAAGAATATTTTTATGTTGTGTTTTTGTTGAAATAGTTTGAAGAGGATTAATTAAACATCCTGGTCCTGGCATTCATTGCGTCTTATAACTGATGATCACTACCGGTATGTATCACATCATAGACTTTAGTTTGTATAGCGCTTTTCTAGTGCTAAGTGCTTTTACAGGTCACACCTACAGATTCACACCCTGATGGCAGAGGTTGTTATGTAAAGTGTCCATCAGTATTAACTAATCTTATCCATACACATTCATACCCCCTGCTGAAGCAGCGCGAGCCGTTTCGGGTTAAGTGTCCTGCCAAAGGACCCATCAGGCATGTGGCTAGAGGAGCTGGGGATCGAATCCCCAGACTTTCTGGTTAAGAGACTACTGACTCTACCACTGAGCCACAGCCGCTGTGTGTAACGATCTACTATAAAGCTCTCAATCATTATATAAATATCAGTTATTATCTTTTTACTTCATTTTAAAACAGCACGGCACAGCGCCAACGATAAGGACAATTCTTTCTGATGCCCATGTGCTGATGTAACGACATGTAATGTGAGGTAATGTACTCCTTCTGACAGAAACTCAGCAGCTACTTTACTAACACATGACTAATGTCGTCCACATGGTTGTCAGATGAGTCAACTATAACGTGTTTTTGTTTGGTGGTAGATTGGGGATCGCGTCCTCTGCAGTCGGCGTCGGCCGCCCCCATCCCATCCACACACTCCGCCCAGAGTCTCCTGTTCCCCTCCCGCCCGCCTAGAGGCTGACTCACGTTTGATGGCTAGCAGGCCGGCGGGTCACGTTGCAGACACGGTACTTCCTCCGCATGGTTCCACAGTGCGTCACCTCCACCTTCAAACCTGGTGAATAAAACAAAGTGGAGGAGAATTAAGAGTGTGTCTGTGAATGAATGTCTGCGACATGTGCTCTGCCAGCTCCTGCTCAAACTCCAACACACACGCACGCACGCACGCACGCACGCACACACACACACACGCACACACACACACACACAATGCACCTTTATTCATCTCATATAACTCTCCTCGTCACATGCTGCCAAGCACTTTGCATTACCTTTGATTTCTTTGGTGAATTTGACCCGGTGTGAGTCTGTGAGAGGCCGAGGCTGCTCGTCTATGTTGTGGATGTCCAGCACTTCACACATGAACTGAATGACTGGCTGGGCCTTGTAGAAGGCGGTGGCAGACACTGCAAAGGAAAGTAAAGGCATTTAAGACATGTTTTTAAAACCTAAATTTATTCACAACTTTGATTCTGTGATTCAACATTGTCACATCACATGTCTGCAGCTACCTTACAGTTTAAAAAAGGAAATGTACATGCTAGGTTTCTGCATGAAAGAAACATGTGCAGATAAAAAAAATTGTATGATATTGTGGTTTATGATCACTTTGTAAGAGGAAATAATACAATGTCTCCACATCTTGTGTGCAACACTTTTGACCCGTCTACAACTCCTTCAGGTGACCAAAAGTTTATTCATGGTATTCATACCTCCATGCAATACATTCTCTGTCAACCAAACACAGCTTTCAGGAACAAACACAATGTATGAATACCAGATGAACCGTAACACAGAAAGGGAATATGTGTTCTTTAATGTGCAATACAGCTATGATGAAGCCTTTGTAAAGAGCTTATCGCTGAATATTCTCTAAATGTAATGCCACATTATATTTAAGCAGAGTACATTCAGCCCACACTGCTGAATGCAATGTAACAGGAGCACACATTGAACACAGGATGTTGAATTCAAGCAGCACAGATTTCCCTTTGTTCTCACATGATCCCTTTTTCTCTAAACAAACGGAAAGTCTGAGCACTGAGAGATTAAAACATGATCAGTGAAACAGCACAGCGGGAAGACAACATCAGACAGGAATTAGACCTATGGAAGAAAAAGGAAAAACAAAACAGGAACACAAAGCAAAGATAAAAGCAATCCAAATATGGACACAAAGAGGTGGAGAGAGTGTTGTTGAGGAAGTTGTTGACGGATGATCGGCCTCAGCTGATGTGATGTAAGCAACCTTTCTCTGCCGCCGTGTTTGATGAAAGCACAACAAGCACACATCCAGGAGTGACGCCTAACGACACACAGAAACCTCTGGTTTTCTGTTGAATATACAAGAGCCTTCAACCGCCTTATTGTCCTCCCCACGCATTGAGATAGAAATTCTGTGTATTTGGAAGTGTTTGAGTCACTCGCGCCAAGGTGAAATTAAATACTTTCATGTCTCTGATAACCGTTAAATACCTGTTATTATTATAAATTAACTGACACCATTATGTGCATGTTTTTCAACGGGATTCGTTGTTTTCTTGCCACACATAAGAGTAAGAAATCAAATGTTGGTTTGTTGCTTGAGAGCACATGAAAGACTTGAGCGGACCTGTTTATTTCCAAGAATGACAGAGCGGGAAAACGAGACAAAGGAGGTGAGAGCGGGAGGTTTCAAATCCAGACGGAGACTTCAAGCACATGCAGCAAAACAAAAGCTGTCTCAAGAAAATACTCCACACAGCTGCCCTCCTGACCCCGACACCACCCACCAGTCTCACTCGTAAAGGCACAACCACACACAACCACACACACACATACACACTAGCTGCTCTCTGTCTCCACAGCAACCCTCCCATCCAGCGGAAAAGCCACCATCCTCCAAGTCTCGAGCAAATTCCTGCATAGCGCATATGGCCAAACACATTCTCCTCCACCCTTTCTGCTGCTTATTTTCCATAAATATTAACAGATTTAAATTTTAGCTCAATCATCTTTAAACAGAGTTTTTCTTCTGATAAGACACCAGTTCACAAACGATATCTTCCATTTCATTTGTTTCCTAAAAACTGGTGCTAAACCAGCAGAATCGGCTTCATTCTGACATATTGGTCAACACTAAATAATGTGTAAACTGAGAGGGGGCACTGCTGTTACATTGAAAAGCATCAAATGTGCTTCTTCAGGAGAAAAGATATTTCGTTTTGCTCATACAGAACCACAGCTTCAGTCCCCGTATGAAGAAACAGACTCTAGTATCTTGTGGACATCATACTTCTCTTATCAAGAAGCTTGCACATGAGCACCACGTTGTCCAGTCATATTTATGTTAAAAACAGACATTAGATTTACTCAAAAATAAAATCACTAAAACTAAATGGAGCATGTGCAACCACTAGAAATATTCTGTATCATGGAGGCTCTAAGTCATGTGTTTTATTATCCAAATCTCATTTCCCTGGCTGTAAAAGAGGAAAACACGATGAGACAACTAGAAATGTGTTGGTTTTTTTTTTTCAAACAAAGATTTAAAAAAAAGGAGACGAAAACACTTCACATCTGTTACTTAGGACAACCTGTGAGGCCTTATTGTAGCCCTGATGTGACCCTCAGAAGCATTACATGTAAGGTGGAAATTGGCTCTCACCGTCAATATTTAGCATCATCTTCCACATGGCAGGGCGCACAGATTGATGAAAGCCGAACCAAACCTCCCTCCCACCTCCCAGGGGATGGTCGTAGCCCTCAGGAGCCGAGAAGAAGGACCGACCGACTGGAGTGTACCTGGAAAAAGAAGAGGAGCAATTATAAGAAAGTGTGAGCAAACAGGTTGAACATATTAAAAGTAATGTGGGGGGAAAATGACTAAAAGTATTGAAGAAAAAAAAAAAAGATTAAGAAGAGAGAAGGAAATGGCACAGGAGTAATGGACTGGAACTGTAAAATTAGCTAACACCATGAATTTAAAATGTAGGTCATTGTGTGTTTGTTAAACTCGTCTGTGAAAAGAGATGGGAGGGGATACTGCCTGCACATATCCACCTCTTACTACCCTGCCCAGGACTCACATTCATATCTGCACACAGGATTCCGTTTCCTTTCTGGGGCTGACAATGTGTCAAGATGCCACCGTGGTACCAGCCCCACCACGGTCGCCAACACGGCTAAATGAAAGGTGTTGACATAACTGCTTTTCAATAATGCCTTTGAAAGATTTTTGATTAAAGAAGCTGGGAGATTGTGTTTCGATTTTGGCTCTAGCCAGAACTCAGGACTTGGATATCGAGGGGAGGAAGATGATACGGAGGTCCATATTAGCTGTGTTTGATTTCCGTAGAGATCAGAGGGCTGATATTGGTGCCAATGTGACAAAAAAAAAAAAGTATTTAATGCGAGTATCAGAGCGATCATGTTTTCTCTTTCTTTGGCTTTATGTTTGCTGACTGCAGATGGATTTGAGCTGTTTTCTTGAATATGAATCAACTGTCTCCTATGACCACTCTGAGATTATTTCAAAAACCATTGCTGCATGATCTCCCCCACAAAAACAGAATGGCTATTTTTGCCTTGAGTTGCCATCAAAATAGTGACCAACAAGTCTAAACCATATTAAAAAAAACAGGTTAAATTCAAGCGTCAGTGGCTTACTTCATGGAGGGTAGGTGTCGCAGCACCACGTCCACTGCGTGCACGGGGTTGGTGCTGATGGGTTTGTCCAGCTCCAGAGGCTCAGGCATGCTGCGGCCGGTCAGCACCTCGTGGAGCATGTGCCAGCTGACCAGAGACACAAACTTGATGGAAACTTTGAAGGGCCGATCTTTCCCTCCCTCCCCCGGTAGAGTGACATCAAGGTCCACCTGAGGAAGGGACAAAAAAAAGGGTTTGAATCCAACAGGATCTGTTTAGGATTTCAAGTTGAAGTTGTTTATTTTTGGTCATATTGCTGTATGAGTTGACTATGTGTGAAACACTGCAGGTATAAGGAGCAAATGTGCCGCTTACGGTGAGCTGTTGAGATAGTGTGTCTGTATTGGTGCTTTCACACATGCATAAACTCCAGAAAACTTCAACTTCAAGTGTGGAACAACCAGCCAAATTCTGCACTTCAACTTTACCCAAAAATGTCCCTCTAGCCCCTCCCTTTAGAGGTGATGTGAAAATGAAGCAGGACATATTCAGAAAGATTTACTGATGAGCAAGAGGAGGTGATGTTTATACCCTCTGAATGGCACATGTGGGCACTGCGCGCACAATGAAACGCTTCATTACGTTTTTTGTTTACCAGTATGTTGTTCTCCGCTGTTTTGGTGATACCGTAAAACTCAATGTAGCAATGATAAACTTGGATATAAGGTCATAAATTGTCATCATAGGGTCGGACTGTGTTGCTTGGTTCACCACTTCTGTGTCGTTTTTTTCTACATCATGTCTTGCCTTCTGAGATCCCCCCCCCCCCCCCTCCCCCCTGTGAGGTGCATGTGTTAACAAGCAAGTCAAGAAGATTTCAGGGGCAGTCTGCCTTACATTAAATGTTCACGAGTGAAAACGTGAGCAGCATATGTGTGCAGCCCCAGTGTGTAGATTATAACACGTCTCTCTTTTTTCAAGCTCACCCCTGCAGGTGCCACAGGCAGCGGGTTGGCCGTGTACAGGCTCCTCTTTCCATCGTAGACTGGCCTGCGATCCCCAAAGATGGTCACCTTAAAGTGCTGCACCATCGAGTCAACCACCTCCCTGTACAACACACACACACACACACACACACACACAACTGAGCTGCACATATACAGTATGTAGAAAATGATCACACAAGCTTCCCCAACCAGATAAATCAACCACCACAACATAACAAACGTTAGCCTGCCTCTGAATTAAAGGTAATTTATCTTTATTTATCTGCTGAGCAGGCATTCATCCTTCCTTTAAAAAGATATGATCCTGAGGGAACAGCCTACCTGTTGACTCGTCGCGGACACTTGTCAGGCTTGATGTCCACCTCATAGAGGTAGACGTCCATCTTGGGGATCTCCACCTGGAAGCAGTTGGCCAGCAGCTTGATGGGCTTCCCCATGGTGCCATAGCCGGGCCGCCGTGGCATGGAGAACAGGGACTGAGCCCCAACGGCGGCTGAAAGGAGAACAAGGAGGGGACGGTTTATTAGAAGGAAACATTTTGAAGATCTGAGTGAGGTCATCTGGGGTGATTATTATATGAGTAAGTCATGTTATATCGAACAACATATGTAAGGGTCGGCTGATCCATTAACACACTGATAGATACAAGCTCACCACAGATAGTATTATTAAGTTTTCATTAAATTATAAGAAATCTACCCAAACTACTTTCCTTTCCTTTACACAGCAACTCAAATCTCACTTTGAGGTCTCCCTTCCAACATACTCCATGTATATGTTATTTGTCTTTGTGTAAGTGGAACAAATCAACATAAAATGACGCATTTTGTTACTTGATGTTTAAAGATTTAAGTTTATACAACTGTTAGATTGAATGGTTCCTGATGATCTCAAAGGTAATACACATGTTTTTCTATTCGAACTACTTTGTCAGTGTTTGTTAGCACTGCTTGGTTAAATACACACACCTTAACAAGCTGTCTGTTACTGGGAGAAAAAAAATACATTGACAGGGAAATTCCAAATGTCTTGTTGAGGTGTTGTGAAGAGGAATCTAAAAGAAGGGATAATTTTCAACGTCACGTGATGCAGACACACCCCACTAAACTCTCAAAATAAAAAACATCCTGTCACACGTCTATGAAATATTTGTGCACTGAATTAAATATCAACTACTGAGAGAAGAGGAAAGTACAGAGATGACATGGATGTGTCAGTGGAAGACACTTTTCAAAATAAGGAACATAAGCCCAGGGCGCCACATTATAACTGGCCAAGACTCAAGATGGAAAGACCCCGGGCAAGCTGATTACATGTTCCACTGGCCAGCTCAGCCAGTTAAAATACTGCCTTGAAAATAAAAAAAAACAGTAACGCATAATTCATAATTTCACATTATTTTTCTAACATCTTCAACGTTTTATACGTTTTTTATATTCTGCAAGTGTGAAGAAAAGAAAATCGCCAGAAGAGTCAAAAGAGAGTGACAGAGAGTATGAAAACAGAAGGGGGACAAAGTTCCAGCCTCACTGACAAGACCGCTGGAGTTGTCTGGAACACGATGCAGCTCAAAATTTAGTCCATAGACAAATCAATGCTGAGTCCGACACATGCAGTGTCCGACAAATGCAGTCATGTAAGTTGAGTAGGCCTATAGAAATGAGGTCAGATAAGGACCTGGACCTGTGCTTACAATGGTGGGGCCAGTGATCTTGAAAAGCCAGTAGCAAATTCAGTTCAACTTTATTGTCAACCCATGTAAGCTCAGTGTGCAAAAAAACAACAACCTCAAGACCATGAACACATGACGCATGAGTCAATGGGAAACTCTTATTCTAAAGCAAACAAACAGCACAGGGATGTACACATGGTCTAACATGCATTCTACACACACACATACAGTATACCTGTGTCTCAGGTCCATTGAACATAATGTTCATTTAAAACTGAAGCAGTTTGAGTGACTGTAAAGTATTTCTATGATGCAAGAAAAATACTCGCAATGAGAACAAAGAATGTGAAATTTGTCTCAAAGGGTTTTAAGAAAAACAACTTTATTTCTAGTACTACTTCTTAAATTAAGGATCTTTTATAAGAAGAGTTGTGGAAATGACTGAAAGATAACTTCACATATCACATGGTGTAACCTTTAATATTGATCATTTTTCAGGACAGGCTTTAGGCATTTCAGCACCAATTGGCAAAATGAATTATGATGAGATTAAAGAAACTAATGCGTTAAGCTTATTCTCTGTACTTTTCTACAGTAGTAGAACACAGGACAGCATCAATGAAAATGAAATGGCACATTGCTAATCTCAACCCAACATGTGTTAGAAAATCTACTTACAGTGTTGCACAGTTCTTACATTTATATCCCCACACACACACACACACACACACACACACACGCACACACACACACACACACACACACACACACACACACACACACACACACACACACACACACACACACACACACACACACACTGCTAAAAAGACCATGAGATGTCTTTGACGTGACTCACTTTGATCCAGAAACTGCAGAGTTCTGTTCATGTGTCACACTCATAGCCGGGCTATTTTTGGGTCTGCTTGGGCTTGCCTTCCACATCGCACTTGACAAAACAAATGGCTTAGCCAACATAATGTTTCGATTAAACTTGTGATGTTCGCGTATCGTATTGTTAAGAAACAGAAACTTAACACATGAAGTGAGATGAGAATCCTCCGTTTGCCTGAAAAGTGTTACTTTGTTTTAGTCCCCTTCAACGCCTGCGACACTTTGTCGTTTTATTCTACCGTTTCATTTTGTCTCCACAGCGCTCTCTCAATTTCTACTCCAAGAAAGAAACTGCCCAAAATGTGTCATTGATAAATGAAAGCCAGTGTGATTCATCTCCGATTTGACTCATAGGCTCACATGTGTGGGTGATGTTGAGGCTGAGGGCCCAGTCGAGGGGAAAGTTCATAAAAACCTTCCGACAACAGAACAGAAACCTTCTGTGAGGTAACGGCAGACAACATGAGCAGCCTTGTTTGTTTACAGGCGGGCTCTGGTAGTGTGTGCTTTCTGCACGGTTTCCTCCTCTCTTTCTGCCTTTTGGTGGGCTGTGTAGTGGAGAACAGGGCTAATGGGGCTGATGGGATAAAATGAAGGAAAAAAAGAGCGGAAAGTCTGGAATTCCTGCCACGGCCGTCCTTCTCACACAAACTTTTGTTATGGTAATTCCTTTTGGGGCCCCCAGTGAAAGTCGTGAGATAAGCCTGATTTCACACACACACGAGTAGCTAAAAGAGGGAAGACAGATATCCTGGCAGTAAATCTTCATTAAAGCAACTTAAAAAATAAGCTTGTCTTCCACATACTGAGATCCATCCTAATTCACTCAGATACCAATCAAACTTCAAGAGCGTTTCCCGTTACTGGGAGCACTTTTTTCCTGCCCTGTGATGGTTTGGCTGAAGTCGGCGAGTAAGAAGAGAAAAGCAGGGAGTGGCTGGATTAAACAGGGGTTAGGATTGGTGTTTTCCGGCTTTCATCTGCTACTCAGAACTGGCATCTATTCAGAATGAGTCATAGAACCACCATGGGCAGAGGAACTCATAGTAGAGCATCCTTGAGTCCATGCTGCTGGATTCAGTAATAGTAATGACGGCGACTTGTGGCAAGAAAAAAAGAGAACTTGAGGCAAAGTGAAAAAGTGGACAGCAGGTATTTCACCTACTAGCTCCTACAAATACAGTTTCAGTTTTAAACCCACACAGAGATGTACAATTGCATGTGTGATATTGCACAGACACACTGGTAAAGAGGTGTTTTTTCCCTATATTACTTTTGTAATTTCGCACAAACACCGGCTCTCTGACAACAGAGGTATACACATTGCCAAACTGCTACATATTCTCACATTCACTCAAACAAATTAGAACTATCTCTCCAAAGGCCAAACTTACATAAAATCTATTCAAATTCAAAAAAACTTCATTTGTCCCCGGGGACAAATTCAAAATTTTACTTTGAATTTGAATAAAATGACCCATAAAGTGCCTGACCCCACAGACTAACCCTCCAGCTGCAGTCAGTCACGACTTGCTGTTGGACAGGGTGAAACGTCAACATGCAAACAAGCATCCAAACAAGTTATTTGAATCTAATCAAAAACCTTGGCCTGATATTTGGCCAGCCTGCGTCTGTATACTTTGGCTGTCTGCAATAATGCCAGGTCTCTGGGTGATTCTGTTGCTTCCAGAAAAGCTTTGAGACATTAGTGATGTTGGTATGTGAAGGTTCTGCCTGGTTGCAAAGATGCTGTTGAAAATTCTTCCATGTGGTGAAAAATTACAAAAAAATAAAATAGTTCAAATTAATTAAATAGCACTTTCCATAGACTACAGGTAAGATTTAGTCCCTTTGTAGGAAAAAAAAAAAAACATATAGCGGCAACTAGAACAACCATTTTTGCTTCAGCATTCCCAGCAATGTTGATTATGCTCGCTATGAACACAGAAAAGACCTTACAACATTTCACACATGGTGGTAAACGTGCTGTGATGTGTGGAAATCAACAACCAGCCCTGTCACACACACACACACAGCTGTTTTGCAGCTTGGGGGCTGAAAAGCCAACCTGTTCCTGATCATTCGGAAACACATCAGATTCCTCTCCCTCCTATCTGCCTTTTCTTGGAAACTGTGCGGCTCTGTTCCCTCCACAAACAGACAAAACAAACGTGCTAGGCCACAGGCAGACGGGGGATCTCTAACTGTCCAGCTCGGAACGGAGATAAATATTCAGTCTTTTCTTCTTATTTAAGTACTTCTGTTCAATAGTGATAGGGATTCAAAAGACAACCCTGTAATTACCGAAATGTTCAAGACGTATAAGCAATGTTATGGTTATGTAATGACTAAGACCTTGAAAGTCAAAAAGCCCATTCTCGAAGCTTGTTAGATGCGTGGGAAGCTGTACAACCCCTAACACAGAACTCCACTTGCATGAGTTTACAGGAAAACACAAACTCTGTGAGACTAATACTAAACTAATCAAGAACATGTCAGGGGGCTGTTGGTAGGTGACGTGTGATAGTCTGCTTTGACAAATAGTGAAAAGTCAACCGCAAGTCTTCGCAGATGAATCAAAGATTTATTTACTCTCTGCACAGGGATTGTGAAGGTTCAAGGAAACCTCCCTCTGTCGAGTTGAAAATGCCGCAGTGTGTGTGTGTGTGTGTGTGTGTGTGTACCCTAATTTCAGATAATTACAGGAAGGACATGTTTTAACAAACAGAAGAGAGTAGCTGTAATCCTCCTCCTCCTCCGTCTATCAGTATGATTCTCCTTTTTCTGAACTTGTACATTCAAACTAAGAAGTGCAGCAAAGAAGGAACAAAACCTTTTTAAACATAAATCAAATAAAGCTTATTATGTTTGGGGGTTTTTTCAGAAATAAATGCAATTATTCTACTGCTGTTGGAAACTGAAACTCA